CAGTTCATTTGGTAGTTTGTACTACACTTTCCGAGGTAGCTCAAAGTTCATAGAACTAACTTCGTTTGTTTTGTACTTTCCGTGGCTATTTCCAAATTTAAACCCAGGAAGGCTTTATAGGACGACTTATTTGGGTGTCTCACATTCGGACCACTAATTTTCATGGAATTCTGCGGTATCAATTTCGGATATTGCAAAGGTTTGAAAAAAATATAGAGAATCACTTAATACATTAACTCAGATATGGTGACCCAGGTGACGCCCTGGTGACGTCAGGTGCCAAAGACGTCCCTTTTGTGTCGAACCGCACTGAGGGTTCCACTGAGGGTATATTAGCGGAAAGGGGGAGGGGAGGGTCTGGGGAGCAAATCTTCACACAGTTCGCCCGCGCAACCTCGCAATGGCCAATTCAACATTGTCACATTATCCATATTACACTTTGTTTGGCTTACAAAATTTTGCATAACCATTGTTTTCAATTTATCCTGAGTTTTACGGTCGTCCCAAAATAAATTGAAGACAATACTTTTGCAAAATTTTGGGGGGTGTATATACCAGCTATTGGCAAATTTTCCCCAGTAACAGTCCCAGAAGTTTTTGCAAAAGTTACTCGGCCCTGTCTGACTCTCGTTTCTAAAGTAGTTACTGGAATAAAAGGAACCATTGGATTTATTTTTTGGGGGGGGGAGGTGGGAGGGGGGTGGGGGGGGGCGGGATCTAATTTTTCCATTTATTTTTGTTCAAGATAGCCTGTGTACAGACGCCTCCCTCCCCTCAGAAAATTTTAATTGAGGGGAAGGGGGCAGCTAACTAATTTTTTCACCATTTTGGAATAAGCCTTATACACCTTCCACTAAATATGTTTATCAACCCAAATGAAACACTGACAGGGGAGCTCCTGTCAGCTAGTGTCAGCATCGTCCAAATTAGGCTCCTGAAACTGATTAAAAACCGAGAGGAGGCTAACCAGCTGTCTACGAGCCTACAGAAGAGAACTTAAGCTTCACGTATAAGGCAAACGGCAAACGTCAGATTCAAGTTGAGAATTAGCAAATTAAAACTGCTCAAAACAATTCTTATGGATAAAAAATTGCGTAAAACTACTAATTTATTTGTAGAAATAATAAAAGTAATCGACAAGTAAATGAGAAACTCACGTGGTACAAATTTGCGTTTGCCGATTGACGTAAACGTGAAGCTTAACCTCTATTGTCGCCCCGATATAACGTAAGGCTAATTAAGGGATTGAACATAACACATCTCAGAGCCCGAGTCGAACTCAGGACTTAATTACGGATATTGCTCTATTTCCCTCCGAATATAAGCCTCTTAAAAAAGGGCCTTTGAAAAATATAAGCCCCTGGGCTTATTTTCGGAATTTTACGGTATCACTTCACAAAATAATCAATCAGATAGCCCGTACATGAATAGTGTTGGTTTACGCGTTGATTTATGTTAACTAGGAAATTCCTCTTTTGTTGCCTAACAATGTCATGAATTCCTCGTGCTCTCAAACACACAGCATGTGACTGATTCATGATTCACTTAGTAACCCGAGATCCAGCCTGAGATCAGGCCCAACATTTGCAGCTCTCATACATTCATTCTTACTAGTCGCGCTATTTAAAGCTAACCTACGAACACAGACGAATTTCCGGTGTTCGCTCCTATCCACCCGAAAAGTTAAGCGACGACCGAAAACACGTATGCGTTCGCAGGCTACGTTTAAGCCTGCCAGAACGTTCTTTACCAGGCGAAAGGAAAATAGAGCCGAATCGCAAGTTATCCACTGGGTAGTCAAAGGGCCTTGAGGAGGGTCTAATCCCTAATACCGTGACAGGACTAGCTCAGAGTCGGTAGAGCGCTTGATAGAGGAAGGTCGCAGGGTCTTAAAATAACTAAGAAATACAGGTACTACCTAAACCCTGCAAATGGATAGATTTTCGCGAGGCTGCATGGGTAGAACACGTAACATGGCGGTCCTTTCTCCAGTAAGAAACGTAAAAATAGTGTTCTTTATTACTACTTTCCTGCTAAATACATCGTCACAAAAGAAAGGGCGTTTATCTACTTCTCCATTTTTTTTTGCGAGCCTTTCAAGCAGGCGTTCCTAGGGTTTCGCCACGTGGGGAAGAAACGCGTGACGAAGCAAAAAGAACGCGGCTAGGTTTCTTCTGAGAGATTCAGCAGCACTCAACGGTTTGTCGCTGTGATCTTAGCAAGATTTCTTCCCCCCGGGTAGCAGGATTTTTTTTTGCGTTCGGCGTAACAGAAATACTTCTATCAGGGCAAGACCTTTGTGTTCTCTTGTTCAGGGTCGACCGGTCATGATCTGGCACTCAGGGTAAGGTTTCCGCTCCCTTCTAAAATCGGGTCTGAAATACACCTTGTCAAGAACAGCGATTAAGGTCTATAAATCACATGTTCTGGTCTAAGAAAGAGTAAGAGTTTTAGAGGCATGCGCGCTAAGTACACGAATCTTTAAGTGGAGATGGCGTGAGGTTTTGCCGCTCCCTCGCGATTTGTCCCGCGCCGTTCGAGAAATGGAGAGCGTGCGCGCGCGGGCTAAGGAGTACATCCCTAATTTTTACACACTGAAAAGATACCAAACAAAGCGTTACCTGACCTTTTTTAATAACGTTTCTTTATTGCACCATACGGGCAACTTAAAAATCTTTATAAATACATTTAAAAATACCGACCAACTCACACAATACATCTACTTCTTTGATATACTGTAACCTAATTTCCTTTCGGCATTAAACTATACCTTGCTGACCTTAAATATTGTTACTTTTTTTTACGAATTTCTCGTTCCTTGTTGAGAAATCAATATACACTTGTTTGGAAGAATTCCATATGCGTAGAAAGGATAGTTTACTCTGGAAACAGCCACAGGTCTACCAGGCTCTATTTGTGGGTTCCTGTGCATTATTGAGTGAACAACATAATTTTCTCGAAACAGTATCGATACATCATCAAGAGGAACAGTTATGAAAATTTATAATATGATCACCAAACGGAAAGTGCGTTGATCTTTTATCAAATTCTCTTAACTTACTCCTCAAAATGATGTTCAAGATCCCTTATCATCCCACTGCAGACCTTGTGGCAAAGGAGGACTGCAGAACGAAGCCCTCCGAGGGTCAGTCCAGCAGGCAAACATCACCGCATGTTCTTCAACATCTATTTCGGCCATAAATATTCAACTCAAGCTTGCAAATTAGTATACATCAATTCACAGCCCAAACAGATTTAAACAACAGTGATTTTGAGCCCTTTTGTATCACTTGAAGTGGTAAAAGCTCTAAGTGTAGGAGACGTAAGGGAACTGATACACCATCATACTGTACCCAATACACAAGTCACCAGCCCACCAATGTCAAAGTGATAAACATTTGGCCTTATAGTTAAGATTTACGAATTCCCACTAATCCATAAACCTGACAAAATGCTCTATAATATAATATCATAAATTTTTTAGCTCTGTCAAAAAATGAGCTCGTCAAACCTCACACAGAAAAGGTCAGCTCAAATGTCACTCTCTACCTAGAAAACATTTTAACTTCCTTTAAAATTTATATCAAAAGTAATAATTATAGCAAACAACAGCAGTTCACACTTCACTATCTGAAAGAGTAAGTACTCCGTCTGGGTCTTGGAAGTTCACCAAACATTGTTTCATCATGGACACTGCGAGCTAATGCCTTCATAGATTCTCGAATCTTGCTTGGTTCAGGGATTTCAAGCTGGAGAGAAAATAAAATACCAGTCCGCATTGAATATTGAAGATGGTTAACAGTTTTGCTTCTGACCGCTAATGGACTAAGCAAGAACAGGCCAGAATTCGGAATATTTCAACTGATATGAACATTTTTATTTGATTTTCAAGTAGCACTCAATGTTCTCCCTAAATTTTAGCTCAGCAGGTAAGGGACAGGTCATGGCTGGTAAGGCAAAATATATGCGCCAGAGGCATATTTTCCTGGGCAGGGGGTTAATACCCTGGCTACTAACTGCATATACTTCACAAATTGGCATCTTAGTAACAGCCTTGCTTAATACAATGAATACTTAATGTTGTTACAAGTACATGACCTAATGTACACAACATGAAAGAGGCTTAAAGCTATCAAGGCTTAAAGGTAAGACTACCTCTATATAGTACTGACAATAACATGGATGTTTTTCCCAAAATTGAAAGTTGTAATATGGCCTCAACTGTTCAGAAGGTGGATGGTGCTATCCATGATGATGCAACCACTTTTTGGTAACACTTATCCACAGGACAGCCTTTTCACCAGTGGATAGTGCCATCAAACTTTTGAACAACTGGGTCCCAGTGCTTCAAACTCCTAGTGGGTCTGCAGCAACTTTCAATTGACCATTTGAACAAAAAAAGTATAGTAACATACATCATTGTCCTCTGGCGGTGAATTTTTCCCAGTTGGCATGGTTATGGGGACAGATGAAGAGTACTGTGAAGATTTCCTGAATGCCTTAAACCTTTGATTATAGGCTGGTTCCTCGGCTTGAAAACTGTTATCTGCAACAGACAAGTAATATAAGAAAAGTCCCTTAAAATAGTTACTATTACATTGACTGGTCTAAGAAAGAGTAAGAGTTTTAGAGGCATGCGCGCTAAGTACACGAATCTTTAAGTGGAGATGGCGTGAGGTTTTGCCGCTCCCTCGCGATTTGTCCCGCGCCGTTCGAGAAATGGAGAGCGTGCGCGCGCGGGCTAAGGAGTACATCCCTAATTTTTACACACTGAAAAGATACCAAACAAAGCGTTACCTGACCTTTTTTAATAACGTTTCTTTATTGCACCATACGGGCAACTTAAAAATCTTTATAAATACATTTAAAAATACCGACCAACTCACACAATACCTCTACTTATTTGATATACTGTAACCTAATTTCCTTTCGGCATTAAACTATACCTTGCTGACCTTAAATATTGTTACTTTTTTTTACGAATTTCTCGTTCCTTGTTGAGAAATCAATATACACTTGTTTGGAAGAATTCCATATGCGTAGAAAGGATAGTTTACTCTGGAAACAGCCACAGGTCTACCAGGCTCTATTTGTGGGTTCCTGTGCATTATTGAGTGAACAACATAATTTTCTCGAAACAGTATCGATACATCATCAAGAGGAACAGTTATGAAAATTTATAATATGATCACCAAACGGAAAGTGCGTTGATCTTTTATCAAATTCTCTTAACTTACTCCTCAAAATGATGTTCAAGATCCCTTATCATCCCACTGCAGACCTTGTGGCAAAGGAGGACTGCAGAACGAAGCCCTCCGAGGGTCAGTCCAGCAGGCAAACATCACCGCATGTTCTTCAACATCTATTTCGGCCATAAATATTCAACTCAAGCTTGCAAATTAGTATACATCAATTCACAGCCCAAACAGATTTAAACAACAGTGATTTTGAGCCCTTTTGTATCACTTGAAGTGGTAAAAGCTCTAAGTGTAGGAGACGTAAGGGAACTGATACACCATCATACTGTACCCAATACACAAGTCACCAGCCCACCAATGTCAAAGTGATAAACATTTGGCCTTATAGTTAAGATTTACGAATTCCCACTAATCCATAAACCTGACAAAATGCTCTATAATATAATATCATAAATTTTTTAGCTCTGTCAAAAAATGAGCTCGTCAAACCTCACACAGAAAAGGTCAGCTCAAATGTCACTCTCTACCTAGAAAACATTTTAACTTCCTTTAAAATTTATATCAAAAGTAATAATTATAGCAAACAACAGCAGTTCACACTTCACTATCTGAAAGAGTAAGTACTCCGTCTGGGTCTTGGAAGTTCACCAAACATTGTTTCATCATGGACACTGCGAGCTAATGCCTTCATAGATTCTCGAATCTTGCTTGGTTCAGGGATTTCAAGCTGGAGAGAAAATAAAATACCAGTCCGCATTGAATAATGAAGATGGTTAACAGTTTTGCTTCTGACCGCTAATGGACTAAGCAAGAACAGGCCAGAATTCGGAATATTTCAACTGATATGAACATTTTTATTTGATTTTCAAGTAGCACTCAATGTTCTCCCTAAATTTTAGCTCAGCAGGTAAGGGACAGGTCATGGCTGGTAAGGCAAAATATATGCGCCAGAGGCATATTTTCCTGGGCAGGGGGTTAATACCCTGGCTACTAACTGCATATACTTCACAAATTGGCATCTTAGTAACAGCCTTGCTTAATACAATGAATACTTAATGTTGTTACAAGTACATGACCTAATGTACACAACATGAAAGAGGCTTAAAGCTATCAAGGCTTAAAGGTAAGACTACCTCTATATAGTACTGACAATAACATGGATGTTTTTCCCAAAATTGAAAGTTGTAATATGGCCTCAACTGTTCAGAAGGTGGATGGTGCTATCCATGATGATGCAACTGGTTTTTGCTAACATTTATCCACAGGATAGCCATTTAACCAGTGGATAGTTCCATCAAACTTTTGAACAACTGGGTCCCAGTGCTTCAAACTCTTAGTGAGTCTGCAGTAACTTTCAATTGACCATTTGAACAAAAAAAAGTATAGTAACATACATCATTGTCCTCTGGCGGTGAATTTTTCCCAGTTGGCATGGTTATAGGGACAGAAGAAGAGTACTGTGAAGATTTCCTGAATGCCTTAAACCTTTGATTATAGGCTGGTTCCTCGGCTTGAAAACTGTTATCTGCAACAGACAAGTAATATAAGAAAAGTCCCTTAAAATAGTTACTATTACATTGTACATCTGGTCCCAGATGTTCAAAGGCAGATTAGCACTAACCCAGGGTTATCTTAAGCTGTAGCTTTGAACAACCCACTCCAGCTCTCAATCTTTTATAAAAGTTGCCAAGATTAGGGTTCATACAACTTTTCTGACCCAACATTCAAGCATTTTTTAAGGAAGATTATTATTAATTTGAAAATTTCAAGGACCTCAATGATTGTTGTTTAGTCTTGGTAAAAAGTGGCAACAGAGTGAAGTATTATAGCCACGTCATACATGACGTGGATCACTCAACTTGACTGAGCACAAAAAGAGATTACCAGACAAAAAAACATGTCTTTTCCCATGACAAAAATTACCATCATGTCCTATTTCACTATTTACATCACAAAGAATGAATTTACTTGTCTCACCACTAAGATCATCTTCTTCTGACTCAAAGAAAGGTTCACAGTCATCAGTAAAATCATCCAGGGAAAACACAGGGTCAACATCAGATTCAGTTGGGAAGTCTTTTTGCTTATGTGCTGCTTTTCTTGGTATTCTTTTGGAAGACGGATGAGCAGCAGAATGTATTGGAAATTTGTGAGAAACAGTTTGGGTGTCGATGTGAACTTGATTTACAGGGTGGCTTTCAGTGAGCTTTGGAACAGTAGGAAGTTCTGAAAGAAGCAAACATCACATCTTTATAAGACAGCACACAGATGATATAGGTGTTCATGTGCAAAGCATGTTNAA